AGAGAGTGAAATTGTCTTTTTCTAATGCTATTTTTTGCTTAGGGTGTTCCTGTTATTGAACTTGCATTTTAATTGAATTGGTCAGTTAGCCTTCATTCTAAATTTAGTACAGTAAACAGTAAATCTCTTTCCTGAACTTATATGCTTACTCTGATCTTTCTGGAAACTTCAGTTCTCATCATTTCAGCCCATACGCTCTCCTTCCTCTAGTACTCTGAGATATCTAGAAAATGAAATTAACTCTGAGGTCAAAAAATGAATGCTCCGAGTTGAAGCTTGAGTAACGTTCTACATCCCAGGAGTCTTCACTTTTCTGCCTCTTCACTTTGAACTGGGTTTGTTGCAATAAGCTTGAAATTTTTGAAGTGTCACGATGTCGCTAATAGTGAACAGACCTTACCTGCAGGCTCCGTGAAGTGAACCTGAATTTGGGTAGACATACATTTAATGTAAGCTTCAGTAGAAGCAAAAGGAAACTGTAGACTTTTATGGCAAATGAGTGAAAGATAAAAAAAAAATCACAATTATCCACAAAACCCATGAAATGAAATGGTGGCACTTTCCCTAGCTTTTCAGTGAAATAGAATGAACTTTAACAAAACAAAACCAAAGCAAACCCAAAAAAAATGTAGGCCAGCTGTGAAGAAACATTTGACAATTTTACAGAAGTTTCTTCATTTTTAATCTGAATAATGTGAAGTATGACCCATATCCTCTGATTATTTTTTTTATTTTTTTTAAATTATACATGCTTTTCAAAGCTCAGTAAAATTGAATATGTATGCCTTAAGTATGCCTTCCACCACATTGCCATGAAGTGCTCATAAATTTTACACATTTGCAGATGACAGCTCTTGCAGGTAAAGTGGTTCATCCAGGTACAGTGCCAAAGTGAGACATGAGCAGCAATTGGATTTTCTGATTTCTGAAACATACAATTACTCTTGTATATCAAAGGAAGCTGTGTGTATGCCAACAGCATATTAAGACAAGAAAATAATTTACTGTCATAATTTCACTGGGAAGGTCTGTATTTTACAGATGGTAATAAACTAATTTAGTGTTTGCAGTAGCAAACCACACTGTATTTAAGATCTGGAGTCACAGATGCAGAATAGGCGAAGCATACTGTTGAGGAACCTTCTGGTTAGTGTTTTCAGCATTATTATTTTAGCTGCCTTACACATGAAGTCAAATGGGTATGAATTTCTAGAGACTTTAAAATACAATTCTAAGTTTTTCTGACAGAAGTAACAGACATGAATCCTCAGACACTTTGTAGTTCTCCTGGGCCACACTTGCCAAAAAGTTTCCCTATGCTTTTTTCTGACTAGTTGAGGCAGACGAAAAGAAAGGGGAAGAAGAAGAGAAGAAAATTAGGTATAACCTCCTCTCACTTCATGCTTGACTGCTGGCAGCTCAAAGCTTCTGAGCACTGTGTGATGCCTTCTCCTTCCAGCTCATTAATTATGTGTGCTAGATACAAGCAGCTAGATAAATCCTGTATTTCTACTGTCTTTGAGAGGTATATGTTATTTTGCTATTGAAATATATTATGTACCAGCCAGGTAAAATTATCTCCCAAGCTGCATGACTACATCAGTAAAAGACATGGCAGAACATGAATTTAAATTTGAATAACATTAATGTGAGGATAAAAATTATGCTTGCCTGAACTGAAATGTGAAAACTGTGCAAATTAGAATGGGGAGTTTTGGATGCTTTTCTTATGAAGGAGAAACTGTTTTGCAGTTAGTCCCTAACATAGTAACTGACGGAATAATTTTTCTGGGTTGTTGTCTTTCTTTTGGTTACCATAATGAGGATGTCTTCTCATCTTTTGTAGTCTCTGTGGGAAAATCTAAAATGATTGCTTGTTTGAGAAGTATGGCTTTTCTGTAGTTCTGAATGTATATTTTAATTACAAGTGAAATTGATGCATCACATGCCTGCCTCAAGCCAGAGGCCTGCCTTGCCCCCTGTATACTGAAAGGTAGCTTTTGGGCCTACTTAGAGAAGTTGTTAAGACCTTGTTAATTTTACTACAGTGCAGAAAATACATTTATTGGAAAAAGAAGGAGATAGCTCAAAGACAGTTTCAAAATATTTTTGACAGCTGGGATGTATTTGTGCCACAGTTCCTGTTTGAGTGATAGGAGAAAAAGATGTACTCAAAGATATAATTACCGCATGTTGAAATCTTGGTTCTCATAGCTGCTATTAAATATTTAGATTTAATGCTTCCTTCTAAAAAATTGTTCTGGATATGTTGGTTTGTTGTTGTTTTTGTTTTTATTTGGGAAGGACTGGCAAATTGCATTAAAACAAGTTTAAATCTTTGTGTCACCAATGAGGAGTTTCAGAAGTTGTGAGGCATCTTCTTTAAAGAGCAAAGGGATTTCTGAGGGAAAGGTCTAAGATTAAAGAGACCAGCAAGGCTAAGGATATTGGCTTGACAAAAGCAGAAGGGTTTATTTGGAACAAATGTATCTTTAATATGTCCAGGAGAAGTCAAGGAGTATTTTTGTTGTACCCTTATGATCATTGCAGTACCTATAGCACTTAATCTCTGCAGCTGCTTGGAGGCTACCATTGCCAAAGATCCTATTGTAGTTCTTTATGTTCTAAATTCTTAAAATCCAACCACAGATAACTTGTATGTATGAATTCAAGTGGCATTTAGACCTCTGTTTTTATAAGGTAACCTTAAATAAAATGTTGATAAGTTGATTATTTTCCCCTGCTTTTTATATGAAGTTTATACTTCATGGTTGATAAAACCAATTTCAGTTAATAACCAGCTTTTGTTACAAAAATACTGTGCTCCTTTGATATCCTCAGAAAGAGCAGACATTAATTAAATGTCACAGAAAATGCAGAAAATTAAGACTTGTGCATAGCTGAAATATGAAAACATCTTGAGTTTTTAATGCAAGCTCACATTTAGCCTCTTTACTGTGGCTTTAGGTTTTGGGGCTTTCTCTCTTGCTTGCCACTTTTTTTTTTTTTACAGCAGAAGCTTACTTTTCTTGTAACTAAAATACAGATGAGTATTTCACTCTTCCAAATCTGCAGATTCTATATATTTTGGACTTTGTTCTCCCATTTTAATGTAATAGAAGTTCAGCTAAACTGCAAAGTATTCAGGATCTTTTTATTGAGGCCACCACATATTTGTAAATATTCCTTCCCCTTTTTCATGCACTTTTATAATATTTGTATGACAAGGGTTAGATTTGTTATTTCATTCTTTCAGGTTGTTTTTTTACACAGTTTCCCTTTCTTCCTTTCTGAGGGGGGAGATGGCAGACAACAGCTGTTCCTAGTTAGTCTGTTAAGAGAACCTTACATTTTTAATAGCAGTGTTCATATGTACGGTTTATTATGCTTCAGAAGTGAAGAGCTTTAGAGCTGCTTCAGAAGTGATTGGCACTGAAGCACAGCTCTTCCTGGCAGCCGCGTGGCCTAATGGATAAGGCGTCTGACTTCGGATCAGAAGAACTTTTAACTTCTAGTGAATTTGAAATAAGATAATCTTCATTCAGCAGTCATTTGGAAATCTATGCATGCCTTTAGGTGGAAAAAGGAGGGCAAAGATAAGCAAACTGTCTATGGAAGTAAATACGAGGATTATGTCCAAAGAAAAAAAACTGAAAGTCTTGGAATTCTTGCTGGTAGTTCAGAAGAGAAGACTCTACCTAGTAGTTTAATTGCAGTGAAAGTTTTGTTTTGCTTTGCTTTGTTTTCTAGAAGGTTTTATCAATTCAACAGAGGAAAAAAACCATGCGTTTAGAGTCTTAAGTTACAGAAAGGGCCCTTTTCTGTACAGGCTGTGTTCCTCTTCAAAGTATAATGAAAGCCTTTCTGCTAATCATCTGGCTTCATTATTTCTGTTGCACGTCTTGCTGTCTTCTGTGTCCCCTTGCCAAAGTTCCCAAAACTGCAAAGACACATAGTGTAACTAAGCATGAAATGTAAAATGCAAAGTTAACCTCAGCAAACTGCATTTATCTCTGCTGAGAGGGTGTGTGCGCCACCAATTCAGCAACAGTGTGACTCCTAGGATGGTGCTGAGCAGAGCAACTCAGGTTTGGTTACTTTGATCCCAGCTAAAATAGTCGTTTCAGGAAACCTAATACCATTCTCAAATAAGGATGAAAAACTGACATAGTACAATGGGGAAATATAGCAGTTTTAGAGTACAGTTTTGTGGTTGTAGTCCTAAGGCTTTCAAACAGATTTTCAGTTCAGATGTAGGATACTCCACCTATATAAGTGCACTAGTGCTGTAAAAATGGCACTGCATTCAGCTACTTGTTTGTTTGCTTATGGACCTGGGGTCACACTTAAGAGAGGGCAGTTATTTTGTGGCCAGAATGTAGGACATAGATTCAGCAGAACTGAATTAGATTACCTGCTTTTCTATTTGCTGTTTAGAATGTAACCTAGTAAGCAATCGAAAAGCTAAGAATATAAAGATACTGAGGCTAAATTCCAGTAATTAATTTCAGGTACTTTATCTAGAAAGCCATGTAAGCATGTAGGAAAGAAAGAGTTTAAGCAGCCTTTTACACTTTACAGACCTGTGGTTTTAATCAGATGAGAATGAGCAGATATAGAAATGTAAGTGGATAAAGAAAATCAATGAACAGGTAAAAGTGGAAAAAGGCAAAGAAATGGTTTGTATGCAGGTTATTTTGTATAATGAATCTGGACTGATGCTTCAGCAGTTTCTTTCAAGGGACTTATCCCTGGAACCTATTGTACAATAAAGAACAGTCTTGGGTTTTTTGTGACTAAATGCCTTAAATGACAGATGTGATGGATGTTTACTCTTTCTATAGGGAGCAAATGCAGAAAAGGTTCAGTATTGTATTTTCAGTTGTGTTATTTGTATCACAAATGACTTTGCAGTTTTTCAAAGTATCTTGTGTGTATCTTTATATTTTCCAGAATCCCATTGCCAATAAAATTTAACAGAGTTTCTTTGATTGTTTTAGAGGTGTATTTGATGCTTCCCTCAAAATGGCTGGGTTCTATGGACTCTACACTTGGCTGACTCACACTATATTTGGAATTAACATAGTTTTTATACCATCTGGTAAGATTTTGAGCAATTATCATCTATATATAGATAATACTACATTTATTGTACAAGATCAGTAGGATTAAATGTTGCTGATAAGATTAGTCTTGAAATTATTTTTAGAGAACATTAAATCAGAAGCTGGGAACTATTAGAATTTAGAATTTCATAGTCAGCCTTCATATGCTTGATTTGTGCAAATGTCTGAAAGTTTCTACTCGCAGGATTGGCTACTCTTTTATCATAACACCTAAATCTATTGAACTCAGTCGATGGTGTGAACTTAGACTAGAATGACAGCAGTACAGGGGCACTTCAGATTACAACAGGTACTTGTATATACATCTGGAGGGTGCACACCTGTGTGTACGTACATGTGTGCATACAGATATACATACATGAATCACAGATGTTATATGGGCCTCATTTCTTATAGTGCTATCTACATTATTGTGGTTGACTGCAGGAGACCTTGTAAGTTATGAAACTTCTGCTTGTATGCTTTCTTACACAGTTGCGAATTTGCAATTATGTAAAAGTTTGAAATGTGCATGATTGGTATAACTTCAAATTTTTCTGAATTGGTGCCTCTTTTGGAAGTAACTCCTTATAACTGGCAGCTGGTGAATCTTTTTCTGTATGGGAAATAGTGTAATTCCTAAACCAGAGCTATAAAACTCCAAGAGACTTTATGTGGTGTTTTTTCAGTATCTTATTTACAACAACTGATAGAAGTTGGACTGCTGGTGTGGTTAAAGTGTCAGAGTTTACATATGTGTGAAATACATTTATCTGGTCTTTTTCTCACCTTTGCTTCTGTGTGCTCTAGCATTAGCAGCAATCCTTGGAGCGGTGCCATTTCTGGGGACATATTGGGCAGCCATCCCTGCAGTCTTGGATTTGTGGCTTGTGCAAGGACAAGGATGCAAAGCCATTTTGCTCTTGGTTTTTCACCTCTTGCCAACCTATTTTGTAGATACAGCAATTTATTCAGATATTTCAGGGTAAGTACATTGAAGACTTTTTAAAATTAGTATTGTAAAAGTGCTTAAAAATCAACGATGCCTTTCATTAAACTTATTTTTCTGGAGTCTGCAGAACAGTACCTGCAAGCATAGGACCTGCACATAACATCTTGTCATGGTCCAGGTTTAGTTACATGCTGGTGCTAGTCCCTCATTTGTGCTAATTTGTGTTATAGTGGAGTTAATGTGGAATAAAGACATTAAGTGTTTCTGTTCTGTGTTGAGTTAGAAATTAATACTTTTGTTCACCAAATATAATTACACTGAACAGAGAGAACCCAACTATAATATGCAAAGTATTAACAATAATTTTCATAGACTGTGGCAGTAGTTATTCTGCATGCGTTAAGGTTAACAGGTGAAATATAATCAAATTACAATATTTTTCCAACAATAAATAATGGATAAATTTAAGGCTAGCAGCAATTTAACCAGCCAATAATCCTTCTACTTATTAAAATACATTTTTTTATTCTAGGTGATGTAGACTCTGTTTACTATCCAGAAAATATATGTAGCAGGAATAGGTTTGCTGATGGTAGAGCAAAATTGTATTCTTCCCATTAAATAGAATAGTAAGCATTATACTGTCGTGCAGATTAGATGAAAGTTATTTGAAATAGCTATAATTAGGTTATGGAGCATTTTCCAAATGCATTATGTTCATAGTGTAGTCCTGTTTCATCAGGTGATTGGTTGTTTAATTTAGCAGAGTAGCCAGAAGAACATTAAACTGATGCAAATGCTGGAAAAAAAAAACAGTATTTGAAGTTTTTAAAAGTCTAGAAATTAATCATGTCTAATCTTAGAGAAATATAAAACTGTAGAGTCAAATCCATCCCCTCAAGAAACAATCTGGCCCTACCAATAGGTTAAATTGATCTAAGTAAGGCATGATTAAGGTGGTGTGCGTGATGTGACAGAACGTGTTTTGTGGTCTCATTCTGCACACAGTTGTGATGAAGGCAAAGACTGCTAATGTGTCAGCTGAGTTGAAGTCAAACCATGGTAGAAACCTGGCAGAAACAGCCAGAGTTGTTTCAAGCTGTTTCTTTTCAACAGTAGCTTTTCTCATATAATTCCATATTACCATTACTATTTTAGCTATAAAGATTAAGCGTGATGAGCAGGTTTTGTGTAAATGCTGTTGATAGGATTCTCTCTGTGCATCTGAAATGAAGCATGGAAAAGAACAATGGAATGGCTTACTGGCCATAATCCCTCTTGTCAGGAGCTCTATTGGCCCCACGTTTCCAGTAAAAATTAATATGATAATAAAAATCTGGTTTTATTTTTAATCTGAAAACATCAAAAGCTCATGAAAACAAACATTCAATCTGAGAGGTTCTTTAGTAACAATGAGAAGACATGACTGTTCATTTAAGGAATATAAATGTTAGATGTTGTTTGGAAGATGCAATTCAAGTTGCTACCATTGTGTAATTTCTTTGCTCAGGGCGCTCATTGTACATGTTGCTAGTTGTCTGAAAATTTAACCATTCTTGACCATAAAGCATAAATTCTGTGTAATCAAGCATCTTCCCATTTTCAGAATGGAAATGTTTTTGCCAGGGATTCCTGCAGACATCTATAAAGTAGCTGTTGTATTATGACTATTACCAGTGTTATGTGCTGTAAAACATTGTTTGATCTGTTGTGCAAATACAGTGCAGAATGCAGCTTGAAATATTTGTGCAGTCATTCAAACAGCAGCTTATAGTGTAAATACGTGTGTCTATAGCTAGCTTTGTCACCATTTAAGATTAATAAAACTTCATTATTAATTCATATTTCATCATTCATAGTCTTGTTTTTTTGTTGTTCGTAATTTAATTTTATTCTGTTTGTGCCATAATTCCAGAGGTGGTCATCCTTACCTGACAGGTCTTGCAGTAGCTGGTGGAGCATATTACCTGGGCCTGGAAGGAGCCATCATAGGACCAATTCTACTTTGTATACTTGTGGTTGCTTCCAACATATATAGTGCCATGTTGGTGAGTCCAACAAATTCAGTGCCCACTCCATCACAAGCAGCGTGGCCTTTACAGATTCAACGGTAAGTTATAAATGCCTTACATGTATGCATTGTGGTTTTGCATGGATCAGGGTATGTATGGAGAGGTACAGAGAATGTGTGCATACACACCTACGTGCATATTGAAGTATTTGGGAAACGTTCAGTTATCCTGTATTCTAGAAATAAAAATTATAGTACAGTAGAATACTCACTTGAACTTCTAAATTTGAAATGTTTGTTTAATGACTCTTAGCTTCTTACAGAAGGCTGTTTTAGAAAATTCACTAATACCTTTGTTTCCTGTAATTTACATGTTGCCATTGTGCTAGGAGATGATTGAGCGTTCTTTTTTCTGTGTAAAACTGTTATTCGTTAATATCTATTGGTCACTGTTCATTGTCCTTAATAAGAGGGCTGCCTGCAAATACTGCATTTTTGTGTTACTCTATAGTACTGCAAAGTATAAATAAATATACTTGAAATAAAGAAATTATGCAACATCCTATACCATTAATCCATTAAAAATAAAATATTGATTAATCTCTTTATTGAAGTTACTGAATGTGGAATATAGTAATGTATCTTTAAACTGTACAGTTAAGAAATGGGGTGAATAAACTCCTAATGGAATACTTAGAGTTTGAAATCATATTGTGAAGTTATTAATGACAGTAGCCATTTAAATGTCTCTACTGTCTTGTTCAATTACATAGACTATCTCATTATACATGTATCTAAAAGAGGATTCTGTGCTTGTCAGAAATAATTCTTTGCTTTGTTCAAATTAATAATGTTGTCATCTTTCATATGGGTACTTAGGAGAAAAAAACCCTAATTGAACCTGTCTGTACTCTCTCAGTTGTAGATGTTCCAAGATTCCTGTATAGGCTGTTGATAGAGCTTCCCACAGTGCACACAATCTGCATTTATGTTTGTTTCCTGTTTCATGTGTAGGAAACTAGGTATTTTTAATCACTCAGAAGATCTTTTTTTTTCCCCCCATGCTTCTCAGGTCATCTAGAGAGAGTCCTGAGGAGGTGAAAATGGCTGCAGAGTGATGAAGCTGCTGTGCTGCAACTATTCGACATGAGGGAATTGCTGTCTTCTGTTTCGAGCTCACAGCAGCCATGGCCTTCTGTTCCTTCCAGCTGTGCCTGGGGGCAGCTCACAGGGAACCATAGCTTTGGTTTTTTTGAGAAACCACGGAGCATCTGCTGGCCTTAACATTGTTGTGCACTTTGCCTCTTCGAGAGAGAATGTCTACTTCCCATGGCTTTGCATAATAACACACGTTCAACTGCCTCGTTGAAGACTTTGAAGACCTTTTGTCTTCATAAAAAGAATGATTAAGAGGACAGATCTATCCACTGGAGTCATTAGCTGCTGAAATTACTAACTTGGCTATTATTTATTGGATTATTTGTGTTATAAAGTTGTAGTAACTTTAAAGGAAGCTAATTCCAAAATATTTATTCGGGTAGCAAAATATTTTTATCTGGTAGCAAAAAACAGTGTAAACCACTCATTGGTAAATGAAAGTAGAATATAATTATCTGCTGCTCCTCAGAGTATTTCTTTAGAGGCCTTGACCATCATCTGTAACTCATAATGACACTTAAATATTATCCTCTTAAAATACACTGAAATTTTATGTTGTTGGGGACTGGTACTTAATATTTTCCTAAAATGAGTAGATATGCAGTTTTTTAAATGTGGATTTTCCTCATATTGAAATAGGAGGACCTGTTTAAATATATTTAATCTTGTCCTCATTTGCAGTGAAATCTGATAGTATTTTATTTTGCTGTTTACCCATCAACCCAGTGGAGTCATTTTGTCAACTGAATTTAATCAATGGCCTTAAGTGTTTTCAGACAGAGGTAATGTACCATTATCACATGTATTTCCAGTAATAGAAGGAAGTTGAGTGGAGATTATTCAATGCTGGTTCTCAAACGCTGTGGCTGAGTTCAGTTAACTTTTCAGGCAAATTAAAGTTTATTTCTCATGAGGAAGAGGAAAGAGCATGGATTTTGGTTTAGTTCAGCCTTTTTTTTTTCCCTGGAAGTCTCTAAACCAAGTATCTTAATATGATATAGTAAACAGTTCTTGAATTCCTGAAATAGTGTGTTGCCTAGGTTACAGCATCAAACCACTTTAATCCTTTTCTTCCATGTGTAAATTTGCTTAAATTGCAGTTTTGCTGACAATTTGTATCGATTGTTGAAATATTTTGACAAAATGGATCTTTGTGGATGGATCCTTTTTATAAGTAGGAAGTGGGGTTTCTCATAGCAAATCCATACTTAAACAGCTTTTCCACAAATAAAATAAGGCCCTAGGTACAAAGTAGCTGATGCATGGGCTTAACCAAAGAACCACCTTTCAGTTTCTAGTAACTTCTTTTGAATTTATTTCATAGTTTGATTGGTAAGGAGTTATACAAAATGCAGGCATGCCTTGTGTTTATAGTTGATGGAATACAACGGTTGAGACAGAAATCTGTTCTTATCTAGGGATAAGTATATCTAAGATTTGTGTACAAACAGCTCTTGGTATCTTAGACATTTGTTTTATTTGAGTTACAGAAGTGCTGATAGATTTGGAAGTCTCCTATTTTCATGATATCACATGTATTTTTACATTGTTTCTAAAATTACCTTGCCCTGAAAAGTTACTGGAGAGTACTCTGATGCTTACTAAGCAAGAAAGTCCTGGTATAGGTTTGCAATGAACAAGCTGCCTATTAAGACAAAAATACGTATTTCTCATATTCTCAAAATTAGCTGCTGCAGTTTTACTGAGGAAAATCTGTGTTTAAATGGAGAGTTTCAAGTGTGCTGGTTTTGCACTTGAAAGCTTGCAGGTATGTGTTTGGAAGACAGACTCAGGCTTAATACAGTGGCTTGACTCAAGTTCATTGAAATACAAGAACATCCCCATTTAATATTTTAAATTCTGAAAGACCTACATGTCAATTCTGGAAGGATGTATTGCTTGAATAAAGTAAGTGTCTCATATTTTAATTTCCTTGGGTTTGTGGATCATGTAAAATCTTTAACGAAACACATTTTTATAATTGCCTCTGGCTAGGTTGAAGGATGACAAAGAACCTGAGGCTGTCCCTGAGTATTCCTGCAATATTCTAACCAGCATGAATGAGAACACCATGAGACTTAGAATTCTGACTTCTTCATTATGTTACTTTTCTAGTTCAGAATTGTGCATTGAAATGTTGTGTCCTCATTTTAGCTTCTTGTAGACAACATTTAAAGAAGATTGCTAGCGAGAAATACGCTTCTTTAATGTATTTCTAGTTTGCCATTGCTCCTCTTTTCTCACTGATTGAGACATTTCTGTTGTCCGCATTTGCTATCTCAGTTATTTCTAAGACAATCCTTCAGATTCTTGTGGTACTCAACATAGTAGTTTTTAAAAGTCATTACAAAGCATTCTTTTGTTTGTTTTTAAGTTTTCTTCTCCCTCCCCCTTCACCTGACCACCTTAGATCAAAGAAGGGTGTCTGTGTGAAGATTGAAATGGTATTTTAGACAGTTACCTTCAGTAATGGCAAATAAGTAAAATCAGCCAAGGAAATATGTTGTTATTTTGAAGTGTTCCTTTCTGAACATGAAGATAAATAATTTTGTATAGAGAATTCATATCTGATACAGTCTTGTGTTCCTGCTTTTAAACAGGGCTTCATATTGATGCTTCCTGTTTCAAATTCAGCTAGGACTTGCCATGAAGAAGCACCCTTAGTACAGTCTCTCAGTAAGTATAACTTAAGGTGCTCCTTCGATGTGCCATGCCTGATTGAGGAACCAGTTGTGTGGTTCAGTGGTGGTACAGTAACAATATACTGCCAAAAATAAAAGAAATAAAAAAAGAAACAAATCCTCCAGTAATGTCTTCTTAGAATATCAAATATTGATTAATTTTGCCATGTTTAAAACCAAAAAGCAAAATACCTTATGAAGAAGCATATCTTGATGATATAGGGTTTAATTTTAGTGTTTAATTACCAGTAGAAATGAAAAAACTTGTCCTTGCATATTTAACAATCCATATTATTTTCTGCAAAAACTCAGCCTCTTTAAGAACAGTTTAGTTCAGCTCCATCTCACTTTAATGTGAAAATTATTCAACTGGTCAGTTTGACTCGTGCTGGTTATTCTTGCCTCACCTGCAAAAAGCAAGCAGTAGCTCCATGGGATAAGATGGCTAGCAGGGGGAAGTTTCTCACATATCCTTTTCTGTAGTGGCATTAAGTTACAGTTTTCTTAGGAGAGACCGTCTTCTTTTTTTTTTTTTTGGTAATGCTTATAGGCAAGAAGTTGATGATCTTTAGCTTAATGGTGAACTGTCATTCCAGGAGCAGATATTTACTTGTATTTTAGTACATTTAGTATTCAGTTGGAACAAAACCAATTTAGAACTCAGAAGGGAATTCTTGTAGTAAAACAAGACAGTGTTGTCTCACGGTACCGTACAGTACAACTGTGCTGTTACCATGCTCTTCTAGCAAGTTACACTTGTTGCAAAAGTGTCATGCTAAAGGGCTAGTGGAACTGCTTTTTGCACTCAGCCTTCACTCCCCATCCTGTACCATAGCTGCACCTTACTGTGCTGTAGCAGAGCTAGCAGAAGTCAATCTGTGCCAGTTGACAGCCCAGCATGGTAAATTCAGGTGACTGTAAGTACTGGCTTAACTGAATACATGAAGCAACAAACTGTAGTGGTGAGAATCTGGCACACATTTTGCCAGCCTTACTACAATAGGGTAACTTTCAGCACAGATGCACTGTGACCATTTGGGAGCAGTGATGGCTGCTTTTAAAAGACTGTTTTAAAAAAGAATTAAAAGGTTTAACGTTATACATGAGTTACACATTTTTTAGAAATTGATGCCCACTTATCTAATAATAGAGTAGTTTTCTGTGTGCAATGGTATGTATTTGTTGTTCATCTGGGGCACATTTAAGCTTGTCTGATTTCAGGGACTATGTAACTTTGCTTCAAGAGTTTGGGGAAGAGAATATGTGTGTTCTGTCAGAGATGATTGAATTAAGGAATCCCTAAACTGTTTCATGAAACAAAACAAACAAACAAAAAAAAAAAAAA